CCTTCCCACCAAAGGTGGTCCCTGTTTTTCTACTTGCATTTTTTTTACGCTTTTGAACTGCTAGGTTGGCAGAAGCAATGGGAGCTCACCCTGTTACGCGGCACTAAGGATTCAAACCACTGAACTGCTGACCTTTTGATTGACAAGCTCAGTGTCTTAGCCACTGAGCCACTGTGTCCCCTTGATATATATGTGTGTCCCTATATATATCTATATATATACAAATTTCCTATCTTCCTCCTGTTAGAAGAAAAAGCCCAGCACAGAGAGATCTAACAACCCCCCAGTGCAAATTTTAAGATGTTTTCAGGTTCCACATTTTCCTGCATTTTCTTACAGCTTTAAATATTCTTGCATTTCAGCAAACATTATTTATGGCCAGACCATTTTTCAAACATAAAAACTTTCAATAACTCACTAAGAACATAAACATGTTATAGAAAAAGAAAAGGAGGCATTAAAATTTTCATGAAATCTAAACACAAATATAAGATACCAATAGCCTAAAGAAGAATAGATGGGGAACTTTATTTGCATTCCGGTGAAAAATTGTACCAACCCTATTTAATGTGGTTTGTCTTTAAGATACTAATTTTAATTTGATATTGCTTTGCTGTAACTTTTTATACTCTTGGAGACTTTATTTATAAATAAATAAAATAAAATAAATTAGCTAAAACTATTATATATGAAATATAAACAAATCCTTGAAAAAAAATTGAACTCCAGAAACTAGCAAGTAAGAATTACTAGTAGTAAGAATTCAAAGAGTTTGCTACATTTCTACCCAAATTATTTTATTGTAAGACTATGGAATGGTTTTACAAGAAAAGAAGACCTAAATGATCAGGTCCTAGGAGAGGACAGATGGAGAAGTTCTAGCTATGTGATTGATAAGAGTCAACATTGGCTTGATGACATATAATCCATCAATGCATACTATATTGGAAATAAATCCCACTGAAGTAAATGGAAAGTATCTCCACTTAAAGTTGTATTCGGAGCTCTTGTAAATTTCAGGAGTTTTACTCTCCAATCAGCACTGCAAGCTCCCCAATTCTAACTTTGCAAGCACAGCCTACCACATATACATATACATATAGTATACATATACATATACATACATATACATATATATAGAGAGAGAGGGGGGGGGACTATATGGTTTATAATCCGAAATATGGAACAATTTGGGGAAACGATTTCCTAAGGAAATGACTTTCTTCTGAAGCAAACGGGAGAATAAAATGTCTTTGGGAACCTCGGTAAGGACTCTGATCCACCTCCACTAATTGCACACAGAAAGACAAAAGGAGGAGGAGGGAGGGAGGGAAGGAAGGAAGGAAGTCGGGGTCGGCCCTTTACTTAAGCCGAGACTCCCAAGCACGTGGTGAGATTCCGCGCTATCTAACTCAGTAGCGGGAGGAGATCGAGGATCGGGCTGCTGTCGCGAAGCCAAGCCAACCCCTAACGCCGCCTCATCACAGAGGTTCTCCGGGCACCTCAGCGGAACACCGTGGAAGGCGCGTTTTAATGCAGCCCAGAATACTACGAAGCAGCCCATCTACCTACTGAGCTGGCTCGGATACCGAAAGTGTCCGAGGTGTTAAAAGAGAAACACGCGGCTGCGGCCTAATTACCCTTTCAATTCCTGCGGGAGCTCTTGGGAGAAAGAGCGTAGGCGAGCCGCCCCTTGGCAGTGCCCTCCTTCCGGGTGAGGCGGGTCCGGTTTCTCGCTCACAACCGGGGCGGGGAACACTCATCCTCGGGCCCAAGACGGGGAGTGAGCTGGGTTTTCCTTTCAGGAGCCCCACTCTCCGCTTCTTAAAGGCGCCGAGCGCGGCCGCGGCAGCACGGAAGCCCCTCTGAGGGGATAGCCCGCCCGCGGACTCCCGACAGGCCTGGGCCTCCAGCAGGGAGGCGAGACAAGACATCTAACGAGGAGCGAGGACGACCCAACTTTACCTTAGGTTTCTCCTCGGACATGGCGACGCGTCTGGCAGAGACCTCTCGGGGAGCGAGTCTGCACGCGCTCTGCTCTGAGCCCCTCTTTCCCTCCTCGCTCGCCTCTCCCGCCTGCAGCAACTGCTCGCGTGAACGTGCTTCGCGCCCAGCGATTTTTCTGCTTCCTGTTGGCCCGAAGCGGGTCACGTGGGGCATGCACGTTCCCGACGCGCGCTCCCGACCGATGCTCGGCTCGTCGGGAGCGCGCTCTATGGGGTGGAGGAGGTGATGGCGCCGAAGGTGCGTCACGATCGTCTCTGAAGTGGGAGCTCTGTGGCTCCTAGAGAATGTTACGAGAGGGGGGCGTGGCCACTTAGAGCGCGGGAGGAGGAAGGGGCGGGGCCAGTTCCCCTATTTTTTAAAAAATGCTGGGTGGGGCCGTAGTATTGGCTTGTTAACCCAAAGGGGTTCTGAACTATGCTGTACAGTTGTAGCAAAGGAAAGAACCTAGTCTGAAAACTACTCAGCACGTGTATAACACTCACTCGCATGAAAGAGGTTACATTTGTAAGTCTACCTTCAAACTATGGTTTAGAATTTTAAGTGAAATAGGCTATTTAAATTTCAATCTCCCCTCCCCCCCCCATGAAATGGGAATTCAGTAATTACAAAATGAACGAGAACAATGACACCACCACTGTATCCATCATTCTTTATTTGTTCTTCATTTCGTGTTTACAAGGACTGTGGATTAGCAACTTGTTTAAAAATACTGGTCTGAAAAAAATTTAAGGTCTAAAATCAGTGTTTCTCAACCTTGGAAGCTTGAAGATGGGTGGACTTCAACTCCCAGAATCCCCCAGCCAGCAGAGCTGGCTGGGGGATTCTGGGAGTTGAAGTCCACCCATCTTCAAGCTTCCAAGGTTGAGAAACACTGTCTAAATGCATTGTTCTTAGAACAATCCTATGCATACGCCCACATATATACACATTATTCAACAAGTATGAGTATCTATTATGAAATGCAACGGCTTCACAGTTTCAGCCTATGATGAAATCATGCCTCACTCTAAGACAGGGGTGTGGAACCTTGCCCCTTTTATGACTTATGGACTTCAACTCCCAGAATTCCTGAGCATGGCCGGCTCAGGAATTCTGGGAGTTGACAAGAGTTGACACAACTCATGAGGGCCAAGGTTCCCAACCTCTGCTCTAAGCCATAGATGTAGTTTCATGATACACTAATTATGAACCTAGACTCAATATGCAGGAATTTGTGTTTTGCTTTCAGTTGAGTGTTACATGAAGGGTGGCACTAGTTTAAAAAAAAAACATTTATGGCTTACCATGTGTGAATCCAGCCACCTGTGGCACTACATGCATGAACTCTTCAGTATGAGTTTCAAAAGTCTTTTGTTCTTTGAAAGTGAAAGCTTTTCCTGCATACCTTTAAAAAGTAGGCAATAAGATGACCAATATGACAAACCTACTTGAAGCAATAAAATTATTTCCCTATGAAAGTTCCCTATGAACTTGCAGATTTGTCCCGAGATTGCAAATGGAATGAGGTACCGTTTCCCCGAAAATAAGTCCCTGTCTTATATTTTTTTTAACCCCAAAATAAGTGCTTGGCCTTATTTTCGGGGAAGTCTTATTATTTTGGGGCACATGGAGCAAGATGGAGCTCCTCTTGCCATCTTACCTGATTTCCAGCTCTGTCTCCCTAATCCTAACCAGAGGAAATGGCAGGGACTGGCTGCACATGCAGTTAAATATTTTCGGAGAGGGCTTATTTTCAGGGGGGGCTTATTTTACTGCATGTGCTCAAAAGCCCGATTGGGCTTATTATCAAGGGATGTCTTATTTTAGGGGAAACGGTACAATTTAATGCAGTTATCTGGATAAATTGGCAGAAGGAATGAGCTAGAGGAATTAGTCATTCTATTAAATTACCCCTCAAAAATGCAGAAAAATTCCTTTGCTGAAAATGTGAGAAATAATGAATCTGTATAAGGACACATGCATTCACAGAAAATAAACCAGATAAGTAAAGACTTTGGCGATTTTTTTAATTTAACTGGAATTTTTTTAAAAAATGCATTTAAATTTTATAATTACCCCTTTTACTTTCTATTGTCAGTATACAATATACTGTTCTTGGTATTCTTTGTAAATATGGTACTAAGTTTGATTTTACGTAAGAAAGTTATTTCCTTAATTTAAGCACAATGGCAAGCATTCACAAGGAAAAAATGTGTTACTTTAGAAGGCATCCAAGTTTCATTAAGTCAAAGTCACTGAAATCTTTATTTTATAGAGGCAAGGAAATAGCAAGAAATTAATTCTAAGTCACTGATTTAATACTTTTTAGTAGCTGATCATTATTTTTAAGCACCTGCACATGTATAGCATGTTATAATTTTTACATCTTATTTCATCAATCCAGAATTCTGATGCAGAAATACCTTTATACAAGTTGTTTCTACAGTGTTATTAATATCTCAAGAATTTAATGCACATTTTATTACAGCTAGGTGATCTCGAATACCATTAAAATGATTAAAAAAATACACTTGCTTAAAAGAATTTTTTACAATCTGTACATCAGCTGTAGAGTTCCAACAGTAGCCACCCCACCCCGATGTCTTCTATAGAAAATATTTTATGACATTTCTGGTCCAAATGGAAGCACAATCAAGGTACAATTCAGGGGAGAATAGAGTTTTGTAGGAGGATATATAGGATCATACAAGAGCAGTAACTTATAATAACACAAGAGGGCACTGATTACCTTTGTTAGCAATGTGCTTATATTTATGATCACCAAAAATCTCAAAGATCCTTTGAAATCCTTAACATTAATGAAGAACTGATTAATAATTCCAGTACATTAAGATAAAGTTTGCAGCAAGATTAATGTATATCTTAAGAGAAATTCCAGTGTTAACTTCTAAGTTAACTAATAAGTTCATGAGAATGTTTTTAGGCAGTGCCCAATGCTACATTCAAATGCAAGTTCTCCTTTTAAGATCAAGAGTTCTGAAGTTTAATAGGAAGAGATTTTAAAATGTTAATTTTTATTTACTTAGCCAAAGATTTTACATTTTTCACTATTGTTAATCTTAATATGACAAATGATCTGCATGAAAGATTTTGTAATACAGTGTTCTATCTTTTGGAAAGGTATATATTCAAGCAGGGAAAGTTTTAGAGAAACTTCACTGTGACTTTTATAAAACAGTCAACTGAAGAGTAAATATGATTTACATTTCAAAGGAATTGTAGTTACTGTACAATTGATAACACAATACTCATAGGACTACAGCAGAATACTATATATTTCAGGACATGAACATTTTATTTAATTGTCTTCAGATGAAAAAAAAATTAAGGCTAATGTTGTTCCATATTCTTCACCAAATCTGGTGTTTTATTTTCTTTCATTCATTTCTCATGTAGGTAAAGAGCTCAAATAAAATATTCGGGGAAAAACTGTAAATTATAAGTACCCTTTCTTTTTTTAAAAAAAAGTTATCATTTAAATGTTTTTTTCAAAATAATTGTTTTCCAATTAACATTAAATATTACAAAATCAACTTTTCTTAGTCTTGATATGCCTTGTCAGAAAAAAATAATGTTTACCCTCCAGTGCATAAGACTCAAAATGTAGAATTGTCTGAAAACAGACTATTGCATTAAGCCAAAATATTTTATCAATAAGACTTAAAGTACATAAAATTACATTGTGGTTATAAAGGACCTTCTTTCTAACATTATACAATAAGTTATCATTTGGATACATAAGGATACAATGTGATATACAGAATACATTATAGAGTTTGGCAAATTTTTATTACAATATTAAAGTAATTCAAGAAGACTGAATATAGCTAAACCTTTAGTGTTTAAATGCATATGGCTAAATGAGTACCACTATAAAGTTTAAAGCAGTATCAAGCTCTTATTAACATTCAGTTTAATGACTTCTATGGTAGATTTTTAAAGGCACAAAACAGAAGGGCTATACATATTTTGCAAAGAAATATAGAATCAATTTAGAAAAGTGCAGACCTTTAGAATTCCATGATAACAAAAATATTTTGAGAGCAATTTCTTTCTGGAATAATTGAGTCACTTTTCTATATGATATTTTTGTATATGAAATTCCTAAGTACATAAAGATCCTAAAATGCAAGGATCTTTAAAACCTTGCTTTATTTCTACTATTAATATTAGAATGTCTCAAACTGTTGGTCACAGAAGAAAAGGACACAGTATGTGCACCATCCTGTCCCAATTTATCAATAAATTTGGCTTAAGACTTTGCTATAATTGAAGAATGCACAAAAAGCAAAATATAGTAGCACAAGCATCTGCTTAATAGTTAGGGGAAAAAATAACATGAATATATTGCAGCCTCCAGAGTTTTAGAGGTATGTTGGTTTGTTCATTAATTTAAGTCTTTATCTGTCACTGTAATTATGGTCAGCTCCATCTTGCAACAAGACCATTTTTCTATTTGCAATTAAGGCATCTAATGTACATATCTTTTTTTCACAGCTGTACATTATATAGACAGCACTGCCAGATGATATTTGGGTATTTCAAAAGAAATCTTAGTTATTTTCAAATTTGGCATATGGATTTTCCTCTTTAAACAAACCTGAAAGAAAAAAAATTACATATTTAGAACATTAAAAATATTAGTGGTATGTGGCAAAGTCTAAAAGGCAGTGGGACAGAGGCTGGTCTTATCATGAAGTCCTTCCTGATCACCAGAAGGTTAACGCTACCACCCCACCCAAGTGTTTTCATACCCCATTTCTTTTAGCTAGAAGCAAGACTTAAAACTTCTTATTGTGCTGCACACTTTTATGTTATGTGTGCCAGTTCTTTCTTGGCTTCCAAAATGAAATCATGTTATGACCCATCTCATAAAATCCAATGTTAAGACTGAAGAGAGCTGAAGAGAGGGATTTCCTCCAAAGGACAAGAAGAAATCTTAAGCTCTGCTGTCTAGCTATCAGCTCCATTCTGATGACTCAAAAGAGGAAACAGGAATTAGTTGTCAATTACTAAAAAACGAAGACCACAATATGTTATAACTGTCAGAAACAGGGTTTAGAGAACCTTAAACAGATAGCATAGTAGCCAGAAGAGATTAGGAATGTAGATACGGGCATGTAAGGACAGTGAAAGATAGCTGCAGAAGGCCAGCAACCTAGCGGTGAAAAAAAGGATGCCTCATAAATTTAACAGAGAGGCAGCACTGAGAACTGGGGACAGATCACGGAATAAGGCAGCTATACAAAATCCTACTCTCTAGCTATCAGTAGATCTTTGCCAGCACATGAGGTCAGAAGAGAACATAGCAGTGCATTGGCTGGAATCAACAAACAAGTGATTTTGCAGGGAAAGGAATAAAGTATGAAGAGCTTACAGCAGAAATGCCCTTAAAGATTAAAATAGGAGAGAGAAAACAGTTTTAAAATTATTAAAGTATTAATTTTAAGTAGAAAGACACAGATTAAAAAACAAAAGGTAAAAAAATATAGGACCTCAAAACAGAAAACAAACTGTAACATGCAAAACGAAGTTATAACATAGATTAAAGTTAAGAATATCAAGCTAAAATAAGGCCATAGTACCGGTCATAGTAGGAAATACATAAAACAAAATAAGAATAAGATAGAAAAAATAAAACAATTAAGCTGGTTTCATGTAATTTATGGCATATCTTGTTATTATTGCAATAAAGAAACATGAAAATGGGACTGTGTTTTGCTTGAATCTATTATCCCTGAACCTACAATAGTCAATGTTTAATAATTCAGATTGCAGGTGTAATGATAAGGTACAGTAAGAAAAAAGAAATCGCTCAACACCTTCAAATTAACAACTTGTTTTTCAACAATTGTTAAACATTTATTACAGTTAAGCTATTTATATCTATTGTGTAAAATTGTTTTCTCAAGTATATGCATTTTCAGTTGCAGAGAAACGATCATGTATTTTATAATTCTGAATATCAGCTAATATGTATATGAAATATGTTATACATTCTTTAGATAAGACACTAAACAACATTTCAAAGTCCATATCACAATTACTGAAACACAAATACTAGAACCAGTCGGTATACACCATTCTTGCTACATCAAACAACAGTGCAATTGTTTTCCTCCACCCCTTTCAAATTCAACTTGAGAGGTAGGAGTCAAGAAGGTATCAGTCACAAAAGGAAGAATATAGTCCTGAAAACTATTTTGGGGCTTTATAACCAGAGCCCACCAATATGTTAAGCAACATTCTTTGTAACAAAAATATCATGATATAAGGTAGTTTAACTCACCCCTATATTTTATTACAAAGAATGGCATTGTAATAAAGGCTTTACTTTAAAAAGATATAAAATATAATACACATTACCATATTTTTTCCGGATTTCATCATGTCTAGTTTTCATCTCTACTCTCCTGTAGGAAAGATCAAGCATGTTATTTTATGGAAGAAAGAGGAGGAAGTCCAAACAAATTACCCTTTATCTAGCAAACAAAAATAAATAAATAAATAAAAATATAATGGGTTAGAATTATAAGATAGTCTGGACAATTACCAGAAAACCTCTCCACACGCTAGTAACAGAGAGGGAAAATGTTCCATCAAGCATCAAAATAATGTAATGAAAACTGTTGGGTGAATGTATTTAATGTAGAGATTTTACAAAAGTCTCATTTAATATGACCAGCACAAAACTACTTCCACAATTTCAGTCCAAATATAGACTATCCCATAATGCCTGTTCTAAACATTTTATATTCGGTATATCCCTAATACTAAATTTTTAAAAATAATACATTTGTGTCTAAATCATTAAAAAAAAATGGAAATGAGACTTATCTATATTAAGGTAGGTAAAGGTAAAGATTCCCCTCGCACATATGTACTAGTCATTCCCAACTCTAGGGCGCGGTGCTCATCTACGTTTCAAAGCCAAAGAGCCAGGGCTGTCCAAAGACGTCTCTGTGATCATGTGGCTGGCATGACTAAATGCCAAAGGTGCACAGAACGCTGTTTACCTTCCCACCAAAGGTGGTTCCTATTTTTCTACTTGCATTTTTTATGTGCTTTCGTACTGCTAGGTTGGCAGAATCTGGGACAAGTAACGGGAATTCACCCCGTTACGCAGCACTAGGGATTTGAACCGCTGAACTGCCGACCTTTTGATCAACAAGCTCAGTGTCTGAGCCACCGCATCCCTTTTACCTTTTTATATTAAGGTAATTTCTCCTAAAAGATGTATTTAAAAAATGAGGTGCTTTATACCCAGTTTACAGATCTCATTTTAAAGTTCAGGAATACTTTGAATAATGTAGAATCCTTTATGCAAGAATTTTGCTTTTTAAAAAAAGAAATTCATTTTTTCAAACTTTTCATTCATTATTATCTAGGTGTAAAAAGATCTAGGAATGGCACTAATAATTCTGGCAGATTTACAGATATATTACCATGCACATATGCAGTTAATCTAATATGGAATTTTCAGATAATTCATCATATATGGGCATCTTGGATTCCTACAATGAGATCTAAAACATCTGTGCTTGGTGTTCTACACAGACATCTTCCAGAATGGTAAACAGTGGGATAAAGGCAGGGACATCAGCAATGATTGGGAATGTAGAAAGGGTAAAGATCAGGGAAAGGGTGAGTAGGTGAATCATGCTTGGATTCAAATGAATCCTGCAGCTATGGGGAAGGAAGATGGTGGGAAAATTGGCAGGCAGGCTGGGGCACAGGAGGAGTGGAGTAATGGAAAAGTAGAGGAGGGAAGCAGCCTTGCCTTTATCAATAAGATCATTCTGGATTTTGTCTTATCAGAAATTATTACATGTTTTGTTTTGGTCAAATGGGAAATGGTTTGGACAAACATTCAATCACAATAAGTTTGCTTCATTCACAAGAAAAACCACGTTTCCTTTTTTTATGCACACTCCTATTTATCATATCTGCAAAAATTCAAGAAAATTCTGAAGCAAGCTTTATTTCTTGATTTGCATGAAATGACTCAAAGACTAGAAAAAACAAGCCTGACTGGCATCCATAAACTAGAAAGAACGCACCTTTCTTCCTGCCGAACTCTCCTTTGCTCTCTTTCCCTGGCAGCCTTTTCATCATCTTTATCAGCCCTGTTTAAAATAAGGTTGCAAACGGATTGCAATATGTCATTATTCCATAATACGAACTCATCAAACCATTAAAAAAATTAATCAAAAATAGACTGCCATTAGGACATCCAGGTGAGATTCTATGGCTGGTTAAATGTCTCTGAAGGAACAGAAAGGGCACTGAGGGGGTGAATGGCACCAGTGGTGACTTCTGGCTGGCAATGTATTGGGAAACACTTTCTTAATCACTTTCAGATACAATAAATTTACAGTTGAAAAAGTCTGAAATCAGGACAAAGAAAACAACCACCTACTGAGTCAGCATTCCTTCCAAATTACAGAAAATAAAGCAAAAGAGAAAATAATATTTTAAAACCTTAAAACAAAGCAAAGATATTTTAATTAAGAAAGATATAAATGGATAAAGGGAATGGTATGGTACAAACGTAAAAAGATTAATATTCTGATGAAAGTGCTTTTGGTGCTATTTGAAATTGATTAAATAAATAGACCAGATCTACCAGATCTTTGTGGAAATGAAGATTATTGAACATCAAAGATAAAAGGCAGTGCAATTTACAAAACATGGTGATAAGTGCGAGGTCAATTGTGTCATTTAAAGATATAGAAAAATAGACTGAACTAAAGCCTGTGTGTGTGTGTGTGTGTGAGGGGGGGTGGAGGGAGAGAGAAACTTGAATTTTATTTTCGTCTTCATAATTGATTTATTTTGAAATTATAAATAAAAGAATGGCAACCACTAAAAAAGCCTTGGGTTTGGAGCAACTGACAGAAAATAGATTACTCCAGAAATATTACAAAAGATGACTGAAAAGGTGGAAAAGCAGATACCTGAATCTGTAAAATCTGTTTAAAAGGAGCTATTTGTTTTTAAAGTGAGAATGGAAGAAAGGCTTGTAAAGATGAAAGAGGAAATGAAGGAAGAAGTTATATATATATAAAAGAATCTATAGGAAAACTTACGAGAGAAGATAAACCAATTAATGATAAAGTAGAAATTTTAGAAACTAAAATTTAATTTTAGAAACAAAAACAACTAATAAAGAGAAAAGGAAAAGAACTTAGACAACTTGGCATTATAGGAATGAGAGAAAAATAATTTTGCTTGAGATTTACAGCTGCGCCAGAGGATCTTGGAGAAGACATCAGAGATCAGTCAGATGTTCAGTCTTTAAGACTGAATGGAGGAAGAAAAAAGAGATTACTCCAAAGTATATAGAATCAACATGCAATTTGAAAAATTAAGAAATGTACCAAGGGATACTATTGTGCACTTTGTTAGGAGGAAGACAAGAGACCACAGTTTTACAGTCGCTTTTTACTTCCAGATTTAAGATTAATAATGCAGATATGGCTGTACTTAAACAAATCTGAATCAGAATCATACTACTACACAATAAAAGGAGTATTTTATTTTTACTGACAAGTTCAAACAGAAAATATACCATTTCACTGGGATAAATTGGAAAGAGTGATCTTCCCTTTTGAACAGAGATTTAAATGAATTCAGTCCAAAAATTAAGAGAATTCCTAGAATAAAAAATTCAAGGGGATTTGGAAGAAATGTAAATGGAAGTGACAGAAGAGCCCAGACAAATAGCCGCAAGAAAATGAGAAGTTCACCATGTTAGGTGCTACAGGTATTGACATTTCTAAGTTTCTGGCCTATGTGGAGTTTAAAGTCCTATTTTTTTTTCTTCCTAATGTTTTTCCTGGGAATGCAGGGCCTGCTTTTTTCAGATCAACAGAATATGGATCCATTAATTATGACAGAGATTGACTAACCAGCTTGTTATCCGAGTCTAAAGTTGTGGATTGATAGAGAATGACTAGCCCAAAGTCAGCCAGTTGGCTTTTATGCCTAAAGCAGGACTAGAACCCAAAGTCTCCTGGTTTCTAGCCTGGTGCCTTCGCCATTAAACAAACTGGCTCTCTTTAAATGCCTCATGTGGAGTATAAATAGAGCAAATGCTCCTCAAAAAGAAAGAAAATTATTTCATTATAAAAGAAAATGAAACAATATGTAAGGCATAAGATCATGTGAGGTGTTAGTACCACTTTATAATGCCTTGGTAAGACCACACTTGGAATATTACATCTAATTTTGGTCACCACAATATAAAAAAGATGTTGAGACTCTAGAAAGAGTGTAGACAAAAGCAACAAAGATAATTAGGGGATTGGAGACTGAAAGGTATGAACGTTTTATGACGTATGAAGTATAGTTGCAGGAATTGAGTATGCTTAATGAAAAGATGGACTAGGGGTGACATTGATAGCTTTGTCTATCAATCTCTAAGGGCTGCCACAAAGCAGAGGGGGCCTATTCTCCAAAGTACCTGAAGGCAGAACTAGAAGCAATAGATGGAAATTAATTAAGGAGAGAAGCAACCTACAAATAAGGAGGAATTTCTTGACAGTTAGAACAATTAATTAGTGGGACAGCTTTTCTTCAGATGTTATGGGTACTGCATCACTGGAGGTTTTTAAGAAGAGATTGGACAATCATTTCTCCGAAATGGTATAGAGTCTCCTACTTAAGCAGGGGATTGGACTAGAGGAACTCCAAGGTCCCTTCCGACTTTGTTATTCTGTAACTTGTTAAAATAAATGCATATAAGAAAAAAGGATACAAAATATTTGACTTGCAAAAATGTGGGTAAATAATTTATTTCAGCAGGAGCCAAAAAGAGAAATGGTTTCTATATAAACCCTTAATTACAACCAGAACTAATATTGACTGATACTTATGGTAGATATGTAGGGTTGAAGCTATTTGCATGGGACCAACACTGACAAAGGGAATTTATACTTCAAATAAGGCTAAAGTAACATTTTACAAATGACTTATGGATAAACTAACCGACTTACCATATGAAAGCTGGGAGATTAGAATGGAGTAATGTGTCCACAAAAAGATTGAATTTTTGAGAACAATATTAAAATGACACAAGATAAATTACCAAGAGGTTGGTTTTTTTTTTTTTTTTAAATGGACCATTTAGAATTGTGGATGCATGGAGATATAAAAATGGTGGTGCAAAAGAATATACTTATTTTTGTTCAAATACATACAGTATAGGTAGTCCTCAACTTACAACAGTTCATTTAGTGACTGTTCAAAGTTACAATGGTGCTGAAAAAAGTGGCATAAGTATTTTTCACTCTCACAAAAGTTGCAGTATTTCTATGGTCACATGATCAAAATTCAGATGCTCGGCAACTGGTTCATATTTATGACCATTGCAATGTCCTTGGGTCATGTGATCAGCTTTTGCGACCTTCTGACAAGCAAAATCAATGGGGAAGCCAGTCACTGAACAACAGTGTGACTAACTTAACAACTGCAGTGATTCACTTAACAACTGTGACAAGAAAGGTCATAAAATGGGGTAAAATTCACTTAACAAATGTTTTACTTAGCAACATAAATTTTGAGCTCAATTGTGGTCATAACTCAAGGAAAACCTGTAAATCTTTTTTAAGAATTGAAGAATTTGGTTACTATTGTCAAAGAATGGAGATATTGCCAAAGACCTTTTCAGACACAACCCAGAGCCTTTAGTACTTAAAAAATTGGTTCTTTCAGAGGGAGGTTAAATTAAACATTGTTTTAGAAAGCAGCTGTAATGGATGATTGAAAAAAAAGTTAAAAGAATCTTAATAAAGGTACAGACATAAAGATGGTTTGGGGCACAAGTATAGCTTTTATGAGGGGACATTTTATATAACAAGAGCAGCTCTCCAAAAAAAGGGACAAGGAAAAAAAGCAATTTTAGATAATAATTTACTCTCTCTTAGAGAGAGAGTAAATTATAAATTTTATCTGCTTCTTTATAACTTAAGGAGGCACCACAGTGAAGCAGTATATAAGTCTAAGTGCTATTGCCATTTTTCATTTGTCTCTCTTTTTTTACTTATTATTCCTCTTTCAAAATTCGTATTTTTATTCTTTTAAAAATATCTTTAATAAAAACTATAGTAAAACATATTGCTATTCTAATATAAAATTCTTCCAAAATCATTTGATACTTGCTTTCTGTTCTTTTTTTTCCTGCAGCAGAAACAGCAACAGATGAAGAGTGTGACAAGGATTATTCCTCCCACTACAGACATGGTAATGATCAGTGCTTCAAAATTCACTGAAATATTTAAACACAAAAAAGTTAGTGTGGAAACTAACTGCCAAAGAAATATTCATTTAGTCAATTTAGAATCCTAATTGTTTATTTAAAAAGACAAAATATTTCAAGCAAAGATTGAAAGCTTATGAGGAACCTATATACATTAGACAAGTTTCCTACAAATGAGTTATGAGGAGGCAAATTAAAGCCTCTTGCAGTAAAAAGAATTGAATATATTTAGTCTCAGTGGCAGCTGATTCCCCCCCACCCAAATTTTAACTCTCATAGTCATGAATGTGAAATTTGAAAGGGGGGGGAGAGAATCAGCTGCCACTAAGATTTCCCTCCTCCCAATTTTTTTTAACTCTCATAGACCTGAATATGAACTTTCAAAATCAGAAACTGCGTATTTTCTAGTTACCAAATGCTGTAGTCAAGCAGAGAATGATACCATGCAGTCATATTTTATTTTAATTAATATTTTTATTTAGCCTTTATTATTTTATAAATAACTCAAGGTAGTGAGCATACCTAATAATCCTTCCTCATCCTATTTTCTCCATAATAGCAACCCAGTGAGATGGGTTAGGCTAAGTGTGTGTGAGTGGTCCAAATTCGCCCAGTTGGCTTTCATGCCTTAGGCAGGACTAGAACTCACAGTCTCCTAGTTTCTATGCCAGTACTTTAACCACTACACCAAACTGACTCTGTTTGCAATTCGTTGTACAATCACCACAGGCTTAATATCTGTATTGATTAGCGACTGATACATTTTTAATTAATTAAATATTTGTATGATACAACTGGGAGATACTGATATTAAAAGAGGTGTTGTTCCTATCATCTTGAAAACCATTGTAATTTGAATTGTACATCTTGCAAAGAAACTGTAAGCTTCTGTTAAGTTAATTCTACAAGACTTTGCAGTAATAGGAAATATTTGCAGGAGGAAGGCTATTGTCTGAAACATTACATACTAATGACAACTAAAATTTCTTGAGCGAACTTACCCCAACATACGCCCCAGCGTGCAGAGCTCAGCGCACAAAGAGAACTTGGAGGGAGGATATTCCGAACAGGATACTCCATGCATTTTTTGCTACTGCTGCACCATAAACACTGGAAGAAAAAAAATGTGATTAAATAACACAAGCTAAGAGAGATTGCAAAAGTCAATTAATAAATGAATCAGTACTTTATTATACATTACAAATTTTGGGGGGGTATTGTTTCTGTCACGTGCCTTGAAGTAGCATGCGAGTCAAAGAGTAATAAAAATAAACAGTACAATAATATTTATATCAATACAATAATGAATCACAATTGTCATCACCATAATATGGCATTTAGCTCAGATACATTTTCTTTTAAAAAAACAAGTTTTACTAGCTTCTCAAGAATAGGATCAAAGTCCCATTTCTGGTGGCAAGACATTCTATAATAAGGGAGCTTCAGCAGAAAATGGTCACTTCCAAGTCCTGGGTCATGTATGATTGGGAACCCTTAGTACATATTCCCTGTTGGCATGCCTTGAGAAGATTTTATTTCAGGTAAGTAATCTGGGAGATGTTCAGGCTTCAAGCTATGTAGAATTCTAGAGACTATCACCAGCACCTTGAATTACACTCAGAAACCAACTTGTAATCATGGAACCAATTTTATATGGCAACAAGAAGTTATCCATGCACATAGGTGGACTGCTATCTTTGCTATACCTGTTCTGCCCCAGTTCCGGATTCCTGAGGATATTGACACACCCCAACGGTCCTTATCAAATGTATTAAGTAGCAAGAATAAACCAAAGTCCGGCAAAGGTTGGCAACCAGCCCAGAAAACAAGATACGATAAGACTTTTCCAAAAATGCTTTGATGATAATTACAAGTTGTTTCCAGCAAGAAACTTACTAACTGCGTGTGACTTAAATAGGCTAAAGGAGTGGCCAATTATCCTCAAGCCTTACTCTCGAGGAGACCTCTTCCTCCTAAGTAGCCACTCCTGCCTTTTGGCAGCCCTACATGCTCGAGCATTGAGAAGAGGCTCCTCCACGTCGCTCTCTCCACTTGAAGGAGCCTCTGGAGGTTCTGAAGGCCCTGGCTGAGTCTCTGCCTCTGGCACCACATCCTCTTCAGCCTTCTCGCTGTCCGACGCGAGCGCCGGCTGCGCAGGCTGCTGGCGTGACACACCAGCCTCGTCGGGATCAGCCACGATCCGCGCAGGCCACTGGCGGGCCACAACAATACCTGGAGTTTCTAGATGGTTTCTTCGCTATAGCTGGAGTTTCTAGATGGCTTTCAAGGGCAGACGCCTGTAGCTTAAGTAACAATAAATTATACAAACTGTGACAAAGGATGAGTGATCTTTATTACATAAGAACAGTCATCAGTGGAACACTAGCTGGTCAAAGGGCTCAATATAGATATTAAATGAAATGAAAGAGTCAAGCCTTGTGGCATTTCATACTGACTGCCCAATGGCTCAACCTTTCATCCTCCCCGACACTCCTAACTGAGAACGTCCATTCAGGAAAAAGCAGAGCCAACATTGAACAGTGTCCCCAATTCCCATCCCCTTCAGTTCAGGCATCCAGAAGGGTGATATTTTTGATGCTATTAAAAAGACTGCCAGGAAATCCAACAGGAGAGAGTCATGGTCGTCATACAGGTCCTGCCATAGGTCATCAATGGAAATGACCAATGCAGTTTCTGTCCTGCACTTTTAAAAACATTTGTTTCTCCATGAAGAAAACAGGAGGCTATTCATTAAACTGATTCAGCAATGCTTCTTAGCAAAATGCTGAATTTAGCACATATTATGCCAAGAGAATTAAAGAAAAAAACCCAATTCAGAATTTTAAGGAAAAAAGGAGCACACAAGTGGTCATTTCGAAAAACATTATGCCTTCACTATTATGAAAAAGGTACAGAAATTTATAAACCAGAACATTTGCAAAGTAAAGAACAGAGAAGCAAATAGGTAAAAACTTGCGAACAGCATTTAAATTGTTTGATATAAACCCTCTGGATAAGCAGGATTTCTGTTAATCAGTACGAGTATTTTGTGCCCATGGGGTACAGCAAGTCCAATTAAGTTCCATAACTGAATAATACTTTTGTCCTAATCTGGCATCAAAGGCTTTAGAAATGCTTGATTTAAGAACTTTAACTTGCAAACATACAAACAGGCTTAACTGACAGATTAGTTAATTAAAAAGTGATCTCTGTCAATGGTTGTTAGCTAAAATTTAAAGCAGAGCATTTCTCAACTTCCAGCAAGATTTTTCTTCAATCTTTGCCCCATGCCTTACAAAAGTTAAGCCACACTAGATGCTGCACATCCTGTTTTTCAATATTCATCAAGACAGGCTTTTCCACCTTTGATTTTCAGGTACTTGCAATAACTGCCACCTGTTTAAAGAATAATCTGTTCCCAAGATAAACTGTCATTATTCGAATACACTGATTCAAAGTTACATATTTTCCTGTATCATGCAGATTGCATCACTTTTCTAATGGAACCTGAAGCTTTTCATATTGTCCTAATGTGTACATCAGTACATTATTTGACAATTATAATATTCATATTCTCATATAAGATTAGAGATTCTTCAGCTTTACATGTTTGTCGGAAACAGTACATGTTGTGCTCATTCTATAAAGCAATATAGACTATAAAATTAGCTTCTTTGCAGTAATTTGTAGTCATTTTATCAACTTCGTCTCCATCATGTATTTCTGTTTTTTGATCAAATATTTATATTTCAAATGTATAAAATGCATCAATGCCGTTTATTATTGTACACAATGCTTAGTAAGCAAATCAGTTGATACATAAACCACAGAAGATAACAGTAAGATCTCACTTTAATGGATTAATGAGGGGAATGCTGTCTGCTATACATAAATATCCTTCAGATTTTGCATGCATAGCACCATTGTACACATGTATAAAATAGCCAATTGGACTTTATGCACATGTAACATGGGAAAGTGTCTGCCCAATGCATCTGCTAAATTGAGTTGCAGTGCAGGCTCCACTATGACGACCGCAAGAAACCAAATCATTGCTGAAGAGACTTTTTTACAACTCCTATCCTTCATAAAGTCTTATGAAATGTTAATTTTGTACAGGAGGCTTCTCTGCTCCTGTCAAACAATAAAACTATAACATTAATTCTTAGCTAGTATGGAATTTAATTTGGAGTTTAAAGTATTGTTAACTTTATACATTTCAAAAAATTATCAATTTCAAAAGTGTGAAAGGGTAGTTTAGCTCATTTTTCCAAACGATTAAAAACAATAAAACTTATTTTTCATGATTGTAAACATTTTCTTCTTTCTCCTAGTATCATATAATTTTTTAGCAAGTTGATGATCTTCATTTTTCATGTTTTTGCTTTAACTTTCCTATAAGCTATTGTAATTACATAATCATCTTTTATGCCATTTTCCTCTTTAACTAGCTTCCCTTTGAATAAAGTACTTTCTGTTCTCTTTTATAGGGCAGTGTCTCCCTTTCACACTACCAAGATGCCACATGTCATGCATCTGACTCTCCAATTCTGATGTCTTGCATTTTTTGTCACCCTTCCAACCTAAGACAAAATGTTGTTTAAGGTTATTCATTCTCTCAATTTCCCATTTTTAACTTTGCCTTTTGCACTAATGGGTAGAAATGGATTTCCAGAGTATCAGCTAAAAACAATTATGAGATTTAATACAGGCAAACAGCAGGCTTAGAAGAATGAAACCTTCCCAAAACATTAATTCTAGACAAATCATGCAACAGGATACTAATAGACAATTTAGTTTCAGACTACAAATTCTGTAAATTCCAACCAAATGGGAACCAAAATTCAGACCTGATGTATCCTGTGCCATACCAAACATTTCTACCTCCTGGAATGTATACAAGGTTGTGAAGAATGGATGCTGTAATTCATTCTCCTTTCTGATGATTATCACAAAACAGCAGCAAGAACAAGGTATGCTTCTTAAATGCACTGGTTCTTACTCTGTTCATCTGAAAAGAAGGTAACTTCACCAGTGCAGCTCATATTCTGCAGGGCGGAGCAGGAGACTCTTGGGGCCCACTAGTAATTAACAGCTCAAGTATTGAAACATTCAGTGCCCAATTCTCAGAATAAAGCCCAATGGGGCCAATTCCCAAGTTAGAATACACAGACCTGCAATGTAAAAGTAGTTAGGCTAATATTATTCAGTAAGATTACTTTTGCACCATTTTGGTTTGCACTTTTTAGAAATCCTTTTTAAGTAGAAAGGTAGCATAAACATAAATCAGAAATAAAACTGATGTAATTAGCTTTCTTTTGCATGACAAACTTTTTTTCTTTACAATAGCCAATCCATTGTGCAAACAGATAGACATTTTATGGCTGAGCAGCATTTCACCATCTTATGACTCACACTATTAAATTATTTGTAACCTCAAGGCATTCTTGGAAATTATGATAATGGAAGCTAGAGCTTTTTATCCTGTTGTTGTTATAATAAGTATTAGCAATTGCAAAAAGTCAGTTGAAATAGGGAACTCATCTAGCACCAAGGAAGATATCTGCAAGTACATTGATATCCCTAGGCATCATACTGAGTAATCTGATGTACAAAACTGAATTGTATTCATTAGTAATATACCATTTCCGCATAATTAACATATAACTTTCGAGAACAAATAAAACTGTTTCTTCCTTCCTCACTCTTTAGCATTAGCTTAGGTTCAATAATTATATGATTCAACATGTTTCTAAACAGAATTTAGCAGCAATTTGAAATAGGGTGCAAATAGGTTTTTCAGAGCATTATAACGGTACAAGAAAGGAAATTGCAGCATTTTCTTGAAATTTAACTCATCACATTTTTAAACACACAAGATAAAATACATAAACAATTCTGTTTGAAAATTAAGCCTTTTTTCTACATTACCATTCCTAGGCTTAAATAAAATATATATAGTCACCTGGTTCTATTTCAATAGCCCACTATCTACACAATCATGTGATATCCCAAACAGGAAGCTAGGTAAATATGTACATATATCCAATAACAAATACAGAAATCATTTTTATGACACTAGGTATGGTACTTTATTACATTGGAACTTGTTATATAAATCAGAATATCTGAACAGCTCTAGATTAGGCTGCCCTTGAAATCACTGCATGAAGCAAGTGTAGATCAGGATTTTATTTAGAGAACAGCTGTTTACTAATTGTGTTACTTACTGTGACATTTTTCAGGCATTCTTCACAAGTTTTATTTGTGTACTTCTGGCACCCCACTGTGAAAATAAATTAATAATTAAGTTAATCTCTTCATTTTCCCAACTTCTCTCCTTTGTTTGTTCTGCAATCAGACATAAAGCTGGATCCTTTGTGATTGAATGTCCAGAATCAAAGCTATTTGTCTGTAATAATACTTACTTCTTGTTTGGAGAGATAACAGTAAGTCAACATCCAACACATTGTTTTTATACGTTGAAGCAGGAGTGTCAAACTCAAGGCCTGGGGGCTGGATCTGGCCCCCGGGGTACTTAGATCTGGTCCGCGGGGCCATCCTGGAAACAGCAAAGGACCAGCATGCAGGGCCTCTGCCAGCGAAGAGAGAGCTCGGGAGGGCGGCCCTCCCAAGCTTTGTTTTTGCTGGCAGAGGGTTGCAGGAGGCTGTTGCAGCCGAAAATGTAGCTCGGGAGCTCGTTTTCACTGGCAGAGTACTCTGGCCACCACAGGTGCCCCTAACATGAGTGACGTCGAGATGGCCATGCCCACCATGCTGTGCCCCCCTGCCCTCCCAGGTCAAACACAACCCCAATGCGGCCCTCAATGAAACTGAGTTTTTTCCATTTATGTCTGATTCTCACAGACTTCCTGGAGAAGTCATCTAGTTTTCTAGGCAAAGATCAGAGTGGTTTTTCCCTGTTCCTCCTTTCTAGAGCACAGAGAAAATGACTAGCCCAAGATCATGGAGTTCACTTTGTGCCTAAGGCAGGACTACGACTAGCACTAGGACTAGAACTCATAGTCTCCTGGTTTCTACCCTTAACCTTACACCAAACTGACTTTCAAAGAGCCTTACACAATTCTTAACAGGTTATATGTTTTTTGTTCAAGTATTAAGAACATTGTTTTAGAATCAAGGCTTTCACATAATGCTTTAGCATTCTGGTAGTTGCATATACTATCAGGTCAGACATTTCATTTACATATAATACTGATAGGGATACATCACAATCCTTCTTTATACAAATTAAATTGGACACAAACTCAAATACCAGAGTTTGTGTTCAAGAAATGCAGACCAACAGGATTAGATGTAAATTATTATACCAGTGCTATATCCCATTTTGAAAGCCAGTCTAGAATCCAGAAACTGTTTGTCCTAATCCCACTTGAGCATGAAGTCAGCTGGGTGACTTTGGGCCAGTCACTCAGCCCTAGGAAACTGACAATGACAACCACTTTCAAAAACACTTTACAAGGAAATTAGAGACTTGTATAGGCAGTCATCAGGAAGCAACATTAACTCAAAGGCATACAGAGAGACATACATACATAATTCCCTTTTTGGATTGTATAGAGCAGCGGTCCCTAACCTTTTTGGCACCAGGGACCGGTTTTGTGGAAGACAATTTTTACATGGACCAGGAGGGAAGGATGATTTTGGTTTCACTCATTCAGCCAACATTCACTTCCAGTTGTGCGGCAGGATCCTAATAGGCCATTTGGGAGGTGGGGGGCGAGAGACCGCTAGTCTAGAACTATCATCAATTTAAGCCATCTCAGACTGCATTCCTATTCACCCTTTACTCAGATCCAGTGAGTTCAGGGAAGTATAAATTCAGTTTTAATTACAGTTGAAATATTAATCGGTATAAAAGTTTTGAAGCAACATACTTCGCATCTCCTATACAATGGGGAAATGGGTACTGTGTTTTTAAGAATGCTTTTTGTTGTGGGTCTCTTTCATAGTATTTTGAATTTTAAATATTGGAAAAGGGAAAGACAATGTTGAATACAGTAAAAACCAATTTTTAAATCAATCCAATAGTTATGTAACCGATTAAACACCAGTGCTCTGGAGCACAAATATGCAGTTTTGCAGATGCTGACAAACCGCACCTCCCATTAATTCCAAATTACGAGGCACGCTGAGAGCTTTATTTCAACATCTGCAGAGCCACAGGTTGTTGTCCACTCTTGAGTTACAGGTTTTTTTCTCACCCAGACACCCGTATTAGAGCAAGCACAGGGATCCGGAGACCAGACCACAAGGCTGGCGGCTCTATTCCCTTCTCCCCCATTCTCCAAAATACAGCCGCTGCTCTCTTTTCTGCTTTTAAACTCGGGACTCAAAGCCGAAGAGAGAAGAAAAAGCCGAAGCGGCGGCACAAAGTGTACAGGGAGGGAGCCTCGCAACTGCTCCGACAACATTCCCAAACAATCCCCACGGGTAGCCTCTATACCGCCCATGTCCCATAGCAGCTCCGGAGTCTCTTACTTTCTTGGCCAGCGGCTGCAAAAGTGCCCAGGACCATGGCATTCAGAGTCCAGAGGAGCAGTGGGAGGCCCAGCAGATACAAGCGGCCCAAGAAACCCATGGCGACTGAAAACAAGCAAAGAGGCCGCCTCCGCTCGCCCTCTCCGAGCCTCCGCTCGCCCTGCTTTTTTCAAGACCGGAAAACAACCCCGGGAGAGAGGCGTCCGGGCCCGCCCATCGCCGTGCACGCGCACTATTTTTTGACGCGGGCACGGCGTGGGCGGGACTAAGCAGCTCCCGAAGAGGCGGCCCTAGACGGTGCGCGCTCCCGAAGGAAAGTGGGCGGCTCCGTATTTATGCTAAGGCTTGGCAAAGCTGAATGCTTCGGTTTCTTTGGTGTCCGCGGCTAAATTCTTATTTTTTTAAAAAATATATCATTTTAAAAATATTGAAAAGCAAAGTGCACCAGCTAATATGTTCTCAGGGATATTGTTACCGTGAGTTGAAAGCTCCAACTTTCTAAGAGGGGTTGGCGGAAAGAAGCGCCTACTAGCCGAAGTTTCCAGACTGTAATTAAGGAGAAAACAAAAGGAAAAACAGACGTTTGCCGGCAAATTCCCTCTGGTTTCTTTCGGATTCCATCTGGGCTCAAATGTCGCTCGTACGAGGGTGGATTTGCAGAACACACTAACTCGTGCATGTAATAAATTAAACTTCACAACCCTTCTGAACTATTAAAACACTCATTTTATATTTCGCGTAATTTATAAATTCAGCCATTATGGTTTGTGAGCCATGGTTTATAGCAAAGTATATGTTCACCAGGTTACTATGGCTTGCTCAACAAACCCGAGTAAATTACACTATTGCGAATAATTCCAGGTAAATTTCTCCCATTGTTCCATAATGTACAACTTGGCTGCAGTGTGTTAAAAACACACAAATCTTCATCCTATATAATATATAATGAGTAACAAAATGAATGGGTCAAAAATTATGCTTTGTTTTTCAGTGGGGGCTTCTTAAGCAAACTCTGGTTCCTGAATTGTGCTTCTCACTTCCAGCTATCAAAATGTATCAGTGTATTAAAATTGTTGGAAAGTAACCAACAATGTTGATGTTTCTTCCAATAATTTTAACTGAAATTACTATTCCTTCTAGTTTATTTTTTTCATTATATTATTTGTACATAAATCATATTTGTAGGCAATGACTGTATTGTATAATATTAAAATATACCCAACGCAATATAAAAAAGAAAGCAATAAATCTGGATCTTATTTCAAACACTTGGTTGATCCAGGAGATGAAACAAAATTGAACACAATTTTAGCATGTGTAGTTTGGGGGAGGGGCAGTTACATGTTATATATGTGCTCAAATTTTACTTGATATGTGTTAATAATATACTGTACTGTTTTCTCTAAGTGAATATTTTATTATATAAAAGATGGAAAGAGTTTCCTTAACTAAGTATGGCAAATCAATACCTAGGTTCTAAAAAGAGCATTAGCTATTTTCCTTGAACAATCTTTACTCTTGAATAATGTAACATACTATATGTAACCTGGAAAATGAATCTAAACCCATTTTCCAAAATTACATGTCTGTTTTAAATATTCAGAAGATGAGTCTCCGTAACTACAATGAAACTCACTTCTAAAGCAATTCACTTCCATCATTTTACTTGTTCCTGTATTAAGGTAAATTTAAATAATATAAATAATGCAAGTAATAAATGACCACATGATGGTGCCATAATATTGAGTTGTTTACTGAATCATGAAAATAATACCGGTACAAGTTACTGAAGTGTCCCTAATGTTTTTTTTTAAGTTGTAAGATTCAAGTCATTATTGTATTCATTAAAATTTTTAGAAGTTTATTTGTTCTAAATAGTACATAAGAGGCAAAATTCCAAAACAGAAGTATGTAATTCTGTCTGGACCAAGGGACAAACACAGCTTCTAAATAGCAATAGCACTTAGTTATATATCGCTTCACAATGCTTTACAGTCCTCTCTAAGCAGTTTACAGAGTCAGCATATTGCCCCCAACAATCTGGGTCCTCATTTTACTGACCTCGGAAGGATGGAAGGCTGAGTCAACCTTGAGCCCATGAGACTGGAACTGCTGAACTGCTAGCAATCAGCAATCTGCAGAATTACCCTGTAATACTGCATTCTAACCACTGCGCCACCACAGCTCTTAAATGGCATATTGTGGACTGAGTGCAGCAATTTTGGATTCATATTATTTATATTTGTAGTTCATTGAACTTATATACAATTTATATAATTGTTCTAGCCATATATTAATACATCTCCTGATTAAATATTACAGTATTTAAAGTCTTCCTCAAGCCTTTTTGGATCTTTAAGCAGTTCAAAGCCACTTGCGGTTCAAAATGGTAGGGAGCACACTCACAGCCAACAAAGGAACTGGAGCTTCCTTGTCACATTTGACTTCAATAAATCTATATTATGTGAGTGGTTTTGTCCCACAAGTCAGCCCTTTTGTAAGGGTGCCCAGATCATGCTTTAAATAGTCCAGTGTTGGAATTGGCTCTAAAGAAGATGCCCTTTGAGAGGTTCTCTTGGAATTGAATTATGGAAGACCTCTTAAATCTGGTTCTAGCTGGCTCTTAGCAGCAGCTCCCACAAACACAAAAAGCAGCAGCTTTCTGTGTTAGGGGTGACTGTTACATAGTGCAGTGGTTCCCCATTTAAACATAAACAACTCCAGAATGTGAGCATGTGTGCATCTTGCCTAATAAGGCACATTTTTAAAAAAATAAAGCTTACCGTATGTACATACATGCATCCATCCACATACGATAACATATACCTTTTTGTTTTTAACTTTTATAGGAAGAACTAAAAGCAAGAACTAACAACTTGTGGAGAGAGATTGTGTAGATATAATCAGATATATTTTTTTGTAGGTGAGGTTCTGCATATTTATAAATGTAAGAAACTTCCTTATGAAACATAAGGAATGGTTTAGCCGGAAAATAAAATGTGTGAATAGCTGATGTTGGAAGAAGTAGGAAGAAATGTCACATGATAAGTGGTAGCCATTCTTCCTTTCCAGCACCTAAACTACCTGATATTTTAAACTAGCTTTATTGATTTAAAAAACAGTGATTGAATGTGCTTGAATGTGATTGAAGTAGTTTTCAGAAACTACTATGGATTTTCAGTTAACATTGTTTAACTCAGTAAGATATTATTGCCTGCTAGAAAAAAATCACTTGAAATCAACCCTGACTGTTCTTTGGAAGAAGGGATACTGAAGCTGATGCTCAAATATTTTGGCCACCTAAGGAGAAGAGAGGACTCATTGGAAAAGACATACCGTTGGGAAAGATAGAAGGCAAAAGGAAAAGGGTATGGCAGAGGATGAGATGGTTAGATCATGTCATCCATGAAATGAACATGAATTTTGGCAAACTCGGTGACAGTGAAGGACAGGGGAGCCTGGTGTGCTGTGGTGACAGAGTCGGACACAACCTAGTGACTGAATAACAAAACGAGAAGAAACTTCTAAAACACAAGACAAGGATGTGTTAAGTATTGATAATTTGAGAGGTCCTTGGTGTTCTCTGAGATTAGTTGTTTTCTTGCAGAGGTTTCATTACCCAAACTAAACATCATCAGTAATAATAATTTGTTGTCTAAGTGCTCCAGCTTTCCTTATTGTCCTGACATGTAGTGAACTGCTATGTTATAGAATATTCATAAATATTCTCATTTTAAGGCAATGTCAATAATAGAATGCTGCAAAATTATTCCTTTGGTTCTAGAGAAATCTTAGATCATCTAGAAATATGATAATCCTATTTATGTTCAAAGTTATATTCAAAATTATTGAAAGGATTTGGGATTTGCATTGAAGCTTCTATATGCATTGCATATATCCTAAATTCTATTTGTAGATAAACCTAGAGAAGTGAAGCTGTTTTTAAAGACTGCTTCAGCTTCTGCTATGTATTATTTTTCTGGCATATAATTATAGAGCTTCTATAGATTACTAACAAACACATCTTATATCAATATTCAACAAAACAGCGGTTGTTCTCTTCAAAGAGAGTGTTTCTATTGTTTTTTCTCATTTTTATCTTTCGGAAAACACCTGCTCAGGAGTCCAAAGACGAGGCCTCTCAGACACGCTTCTCTTCATAGAATTTGCATGTGCTCAGCAGATAAAATATATGAAACACATTATATTTACTTTAGTTATGTTTATTTGAAGTTCCCATGTCTGATTGTTGCCTGTCCCCATTTTCTCCTGTTCCCTCATTCTTTTGCTTAAATTCATTTTTCCCAAGTATTATAGATTTCTTTCTGAAAATCATTATAAAATATTACATTATGGAATGGCATATAAATATCTTTAAAATATGCTAAAATGCTGATTACAGTATTTTCTTTGCATCTCTGCTGCTCAGTATGCTCTACTTTACTGGTTGTGATTTTGCATGACAGCTTATTTTCCTATCCAGGTTATCATCTCTTTCTGATGAGTGTAACTTGTGGGGTCTAAACCAGAAATGGGCAACTTGCACCACTTATGAACTCCCAAGATTCTTTTCTGAAGGGCCCCCATCTCAAAGTAAACAAACATTGGTGACACACTTTTCTACCATGTAGATGCAGAAGTGCACATGGACTATAGTGTACTATAACATCTAGAAAGGATGAAATAAAATTTAAAAAACAATGGTTGAACTACAATTCAGCAACCTTAGTGAATTTGGCTAATGATGAAGAGTGGTAGGAGCTCTAGTTAAACAATATCTGGAGGGCTATAAGTTTCTTATTACTCTGCCTAGGGCTCCTATATAGGGCTCAACTTTTAAAAACTAACGATGTCCTCCAAATTGTGGAGGCAGAAGGGTCAGGTTTGAACCAGGAGACTTGTCTTCCAAATATTTTACATGCTCTGATGCTCATAGTTTCTGCCTAATGGGAATAAGACTGTTCTGCTGGGCATGAATGAGCAGTAATAAAGCTCTTTGCACATTTAACAGAGGATGTAAATAATAATTATTGGAACAACTGTAAGGAAAACACTGTTTGTTCCCACACATTGTCTAGTAGTTCAGTCAGGAAGAAGCTTTCCTCATTTGTCTTGTTTATAAACATTATGCACTTGTTTTTCATTTCCTCTTTATTCATGGATGGTCAGCTATACTGTCCAATTCCTCTTGGTGGGAGAAAGAAAGACATCAGACAAGAGAGACATTTGGGGCAGATTGTTATGCGAAGAAAGAATGGAAGCTGGCATAGGAAAGAGATGCTCTGAAAAAGCAAACAACTGGGTAGATTTTGGAGATCCTGAACCAATAACAGAGATCTCTGAATTCTGAGGAATTTTTTTAATAAGTTCTTTATACAAACCCTGACAATATTTAAAACAAACAATAGAAACAGAGTAAGGACAAAGAATGTTCTCATGTTCTTTAAATGCAGATCCTTGAGAATGCTTCTGAAACTATCTGGGCTGATAACTTTAAAAGGGCAGGGGTAGAAGACCTATTTTATTCCCACTGTCAAAAAAGAATCCCATTTCATAATCATGATGAATATTTGATGATACCTGAGATAGTTACATATAGATTGCCTACCTTAATTTGCCACTTCATATCTTAGAAAAAAATTATATTTATTATTTTTATTACCATAGGAATATTTATATTGCCTCCCATCTACCAATGGCATTTTATTTAGAGCTGAGGTGGCGCAGTGGTTAGAATGCAGTACTGCAGGCTACTTCAGCTGACTGCTAGCTGCATTCAGCAGTTCAAATCCCACCGGCTCAAGGCTGACTCAGCGTTCCATCCTGAGGTGGGTAAAACGAGGACCCAGATTGTTGGGGGCAATATGCTGGCTCTGTAAACTGCTTAGGGAGGGCTGTAAAGCACTATGAAGCGGTATATAAGTCTAAGTGCTATTGCTATTTCCTCTTAAGAAGTGCCTAAATATTGTCAACCCAATCCTTGAAGAACAAAATTAAGAATCAACACCCTTATTCAGGTCATATTTATTTATAAAATTTATTGGCTACCCATCTTACCATAAGGTAACTCTGGGCGGCTTACATATTATACACATACATACAATATGCATGCACGCACACACACACAACATACATTAAACCCAAACATTAAAATCTAAGGACACATGGAGAAGCAGAGGCGGAATGAGGAGGGAAGGGGATCTGTTGTTACTTGATCAATCAATTCCACTGTGCTGTTCTTCCATTGGGGCCCCAGACCAACTGGCAGAGCCAGGTCTTTATGCCCCCTTATGAAATAATAGGAGGATTGGGGCCAACTTCACATGGGGGAGGGGCAAGATGTTCCAGAGGGCAGGAGCAATAACAGAGAATAATCGGGCTGACAGGACAGCATGCTTCCTCTTCGGCATGAGTGTGACGGGCCAATCCCAGTGGGGTGAGACAGTCCCTCAAGTAACCTGAATTTATCCCATGAAGAGCTTTAAAGGTGATCACCAACATAATGCATGTTATGTTTGAATTAGATTCTAAATATGGCTTCGTCAGTAAGTGTTGGGCTTCACCTCCCAGAATTCATAACTTTTGCCAATATTGGCTAAAATTATAGTTAGTCCTAAGAACACAGTTTTAGGTGATAATTGTCAACATAACATGATTGATTAACGCTTAGATTAGGAACCAGGATGGAAAGTCAAAAAACATCCTGAAAGAAGGCAAAGGCAAGCTAGTTCTGAACCGTAATTAAAGTAACCACATAGATGTTTCTTTGTGGTCAATAGGATTTGAAATGTACCTTCACTTTTGAGTAATTAAGAAGAAGAAAGATGAGCCACTGACCTAAAAACACTCAATGGTAAATCAAGGGAGGAACACAATTTCAGTTGTGATAGACATTTAACTAGGGTCACAATTCACATGCATGCTGTTTGTGAGAGGTAGTTCTCAGTCATGGATTATTTGCATTCAGACTGACCATACTAGGAGAAAAGGAAACAAAGTAAGTATAATAGGATGAGATGGACAAATTCTAGCATTGCCTTGAAAACTCTGCTAAGCAGACAGTAAACAATTCAAGCAGCCTGCAATCCTATGCACATTTGCCATCAGCTCACTAAATTCAATCAAATTTGAGTTGACATATACCAGATTGTGTTATAAAGTTGCATCTAGATTGGAACCAAAGTATTATTGAACTCTTTAAAAGAGTAAAAAAGATGGCCTAGATGGAGATAAGCAATATTGGTTACCGAAGCAACAAGGAGTGAAGCACATTTTAAGTCTATAAGAGAGCAAAATTATGCGGTAAAAGCTAGAACTGCCACCTTCATAATTCACAAGAGTATTAGAAGGGGAAGCAGGAATACCAAAACCAGAATTTCCAGATTGCTATTAGAGCCTTCTCAATAAAAGTAGTTTTAGCTTTCTTGCAGAGTTGATTTCCTGGTCTTGTCTATCAGGTGGAATTGACACCTCTGCAGCTGCTGTCCACACAACACACTTAACCAGGGCAGCTAAAGATCTAGCAGGCGACCCAGAATGCGAAATTGGCTTTTCTGGCTTAATATTTTGAGTAACGCCCACCTGTATGTTAATGGTCCAGCAAACTGTATTTCAAAAAGAAAAAAAAGATTAATTCAGCTACGTGGTTTGTATGAACTCGACCAGTGTTTCGGCTTTCTACAGCGTCAGGCAGACGGCGGTCAACTTCCAGACGGGAAAGTTTCACCCAAGCTCCTGTCCGCGGGGTGGATCCCAGCATAGCTCCTCTCGGCCTGTGATCTGGTAAGGAATAAACCGATCTGGCGGGAGGCGCGCCGGGCGACCGCTAGGGGGAGAGAGCGCTGGACGGCAGCGAGGGGCTCCCTTGCGCCTCTTTCCGCGGGCTGCCGTCGTCGCTGCCGCTCGCCTTATTTGTCTAGGGAGGGTATTCTCAGCCCCTCCAAGATGGCCTCAGAGCGGTTGTCAAGGCAACAGTGTGAAAGTCATCAGTGCCATGGAAACCCTTTGCGTGGCCGAATAATATAAATATTTTTTTCGCGAAGAAGGAGCCTGGGGATGAGTGGGCGATGTGCTATTTTCTGACGCGGCAGCGGGCGGGAGGGGGGCTCCCCGGCGGCTAGGGAAGGGGGGGGGGCGATAAAATTAGCTCAGCATGGAGGGGAGGAAGAGTTTCGGGAGCGGCGGGGCTTGCCCTTGGGACGGGAGCCCGAGGAGCCGCGGGGTCTGCCTTTGCATCTCCGAGTCCCAAAGGCCACTAACTGCGCACAGGTAAGAGGGCTTCGGGTGCTTGGGCTTGTCTTGCTGCGGCTCCCGGCTCCCTCCATCCCCATATGGGGCAAAAGCAGGCACGTCTGCCCCAGCAGCAAGCCGCCCCGACTGCAACTGTTCCTGCTGGGCCAGGTGGACGTGGCTTCCTCTTCCAATCTTTGGTGCCGCAGCGGAAGGCACTGCTTGATGATTGCACGGGTGAATTTGCGGGGGCAGAGGCTTTTCTTGCCCGTGTATCTGGAAGGGTAGTTTGGTTTTATAGACAGGTAACCCATATAGGAAATCAATGCCAGAAAGAAGCCATGGGCCAGGAGCTGTTACTGGGATATGCGTCCATAGCAGGAATGTAGAAAAGCAACCTATGCTAGCTGGGCATCAGTTCTCATGCAAGAATGCTATCTGTTCTAAGAATTTTACAGCAGTATGAAGGATCCCACAATTTAGTGAAGAATTTCACTAAATTCTTAGTGAAGAATGAATCTTGTGGGCTTTTTCACACACTTTTTAATATTTTTTTAAAAACCTCATTAACAACAACTGCAGTGTTTTCCTTATGAAATTTCCTTTGTTGCTTTGTGAATGATATTTTTGGAAATAGTTCCCATCTGTATACAGGTACTCCTCAACGTACGACCATAATTAAATCCAAAATTTAAGTGGGAAATTTGTTAAGTGAGTTTTGCCCCATTTTATAACTTTTCTCACATTTGTTAAGTGAATTGTTGCAGTTCTTAAATTAGTAACATGGTTGTTCTTAAATTAGTAACACGGTTGTTAAGTGAATCTGGTTTCCCCGTTGACATGGCTTGTCAGAAGGTTGCAAAAGGTGATCACATGACCCCAGGACACTGCAACCATCATAAATGTGTGTCAGTTATCAAACATCTGAATGTAAATCACGTGACCATGGGGACACTGCAACGGTCATAAGTGTGAAAAATGGCCATGTGACTTTTTTCAATACTGTTGTAACTTTGAACATTCCATAAATGAACTGTTGTAAGTTGAGGACATACTATATCCATACTGTAATGGGTACAACAACGACATAAATGAATGTGATAAAGACTTAAAATTATTTTTTCACTCTGTCAACAGAACTTCAGGTAGCTGTAAAATAATCTGTTTCGGTTTTTCCCCCATTATTTTGAGTGGTAACATGTTAGACCAAGTCCATCACTCGCTGAATATTTACATGCATATCATGTGAAAGAATTTAAATCAGAGCAATATTTCTTTCAAGAGCAGAGAAACGGTTATAAAACTATAATAATACCAATCATTGTATCATTTTTGTGCCTATCTGCTGAGATTAAGACCCTGTACATATAGATGTATACAGATTTTGCTAAACAGCTCCAGATCCAGGCTTTACAATAAGAAAAAAAATTCCAACTCATCAATTTTTATAATTGTCAATTCTCAATTTTTCAGCACACTGAATAAAAGTTTAAGCATGCAAATTACAGAAGCCATCAGGATAATAAATGACTGTCTTCTTTTTGCTTCCTAATTCTGCCTGCTCACTAGTAGTGAAGTTTTTCTAACCTGTTTCATGATCCTTTTTTGTTGATATCCACCTGCAAATAACTTTCCATCCCATCACTCAATTTTTCTGAAGGTGAAACACACCAACATCTATGAACATCTTCAGAAATCCAATACAATCATAGCATTGTTTGCCTAATTTATATGTGTAGAGAGGAGTAGCCCACCTGCAACTCTTATCTTAATATCCAAAGGCTTAATTTAAAAAAAACCAAAAACCTTCTGCAAATATTTGGCTCAGACTTCTGCCAAGAGCAATGTGTTCCTATCCTGGCAGATACCCAGGCAAGGACAAATGAAGACAGAAAGAGAGAAGAAGAAATGATAATTTGTCACTTTTCATCTCCAGTACCTCCCACTACCAGAATTGGTTTGCCAAACATAATACCTAGAAAGAATAAGAGCTGCCAATTACTGTGAAACAGCATTGTATGAGTCCATCTAATTCCCCAACCTGACGTTCTTTAGATGTGTTGGGAGTACAACACCCAGAATTTCCAACATTGACTGGGAATTTTGAGAGCAGCAGTGCAAGTGTCTCTGGCATCAGGTAAGGAGGCTGGTTTTACCAAATATTAAATGGCAGGAAGATGAGATTGTGCTTTTTAGATGTTTTGTTTTGCAGTCAATAGCTATAGCCAATGTGGCAGTCCTGAAAAAGCAGGACTGAAGGGTACAGAATTGGAATTACTTGCCCTGATTGCCTCCATCCCCCCACACACCTTCACCACCCGTATTTTTTGAGATATCTCTTAATATTTTGCCCTTTCCCAAAGTGGAAAATTGAACTGAAACTATTTGGTATTTTGTTACCAAATTTCTGAAGCACAAACTCAGAGGGATTTTATCAAAACAAAGACTACCTTTTGCTCAGCTCCCAGAAATTACATAAATAGATTTGTCTTGTCTTCTTGGCAACAGTACAGAAGTGGGTTTGCCACTGTCTTTTTTCAGGATGCTTTTTCAACTTCCTTATGTAGACTACATTATAGCTCAGGTTTCCTGGTACTCTCATCTGAGTGCCACAAACATCCAGCCCCTTTTCAGTTTTTTTTTCTTTCATCCAAGGTCAGCTTCATTCCAGAGGGCAGAGGAGGGAATGAAAGAAGAATTGGGCTGGGAAGATGCAGAGCAAACAGTTGTCCATGATTTCTTACTGTGCAGCTCATCCATCGCAATACTTATCTATAAAATATGTAATATTTTTCTTTAGCAGTTGAGCCACTCTTGTAGTTTTACAAATTTCTTGTTTAGAGCTAATGACACAAAAGAATTCACTTCTAACAGTTAAACTACCCTCAATTCCACTTCATAATTATATTGATTATCCATGTGGATAATCAGTACTGTATAGTCAACCATTGATATTAGTAATTAACAATATTAAGTTAATAAATATTAATGTATACATATATTAAGCAATATATTGAAATCACATTAATGTGATTTAATGGTTTAATTGGAATTTTGTTTCAGAAAACATAATTACTGTAACAAACAATAGTGGTTCCTTTTTAAATTATAAGGACTTGGGCATGAGAAAATTAACCATAAAGCCTTCTGTACAACTAATTATTATTCTTATTTGTGATTGACATCTGGGCTGAAATTATAAGCAATTCTACTTTAAAAATAAAAGCAATTAAAATGTGTAAGATTCTTGAATAAATATGTTAATCTTGGATTGTAAATCTGTACATTTTTTATCATAATATATGTTATGATATCTTATAGTTTAACTGATTCTACCATACTGGTAAAACATATTTCAATATTTATTCTGCATATGGATTTGCATTCTTGACAGCTTTCACTGTTCATTGGTACTTTTGTGTATGAAAAATACTCTTGTTTTCCTTAAATCTTTGAGACAGACATAGTCACAGAATACCTCAATAATGTAATGTAAATTTATGTTACAGTGAACTGTGGTAAAATTGGGGAGGGGATAGTTTAGGCACAAGTATTTTGTAGAAGAAAATCTACGGTATATAAGGAGTATTATTAATTTATCTTTTAAGTTACGTTTTCAAATTTGGGAGAGGCAAAAGAAAATCAGTGCATGCATATTATCAACATTTCTCTATATGAAGGTCAAATATTCCCTGTCTTTTTATTTCAAATATTATGAGGGATGTAGAGTAATCGAACTTCTATATGAATCTTTACTGGAATAGGGTTTTCTATTCTCATAGAACCATGGCAACATGATTACTACCAGCAATAAAGTCTGTCTAACATTTATTCTGGGTTGGGGGAGAAATCTGATTCATTTTTGCATATTTAAGAGGTGGCTAAGATTCTTGGCTTTTCATTTATTTTAATGGCAAAAGCAATCCATGTTGCTCAACTGTGTGGGACATTCCACTGTGGCTACTTCTGCTTTCCAAAACTTCCTGAATTGATTATATAGCCATTCATCATTATGGAAACTGGAAAGTCATTCAGGAGAATCTTAGCATGAATCTAAGTTTCTTGACGAATAATTATTTTCCTCTTCCTGTTATGCTATACACCATGCATTCGTTTTTAAAGGAACTCCTTGGGTTTCTTTTTTTTTTTCCAGTTGGCTGGGAAGTGGCTTAGGCCTGGGATATTTTGGGGGCCATCTGCAGCCAGCAACAGCTGCCCATCACCCGATGCGTTCCCACAGAGGGCCTCCTCAGGGTGCCGTCGGCCAGACAGTGTTGGCTGGCGACCCCCAGGGGGAGAGCTTTCTCTGTGGGCGTACCTGCCCTTTGGAATCAACTGCCCCTGGAGCTCCGGGTGGCCCCCGACCTCCGCTCTTTCCATCGCAACCTGAAAACGTGGATGTTTCGTTTGGCTGGCCTGGACTGATGGGGTTTTAATTTTTAACATGTTAGTCTTAATTGTACTTTTAACTGTTAAATTATGAGATTTGGATTTAATTTCTTTTAACTTTTTCATTAGATGTTTTTTACTGTTGTGAGCCACCCTGAGTCCGG